AACTGTTTGACTGGAAATACAAAGGGGCAGCAGAAAAAAAAATTTTTGAAGAAATAATGGCTGAAAGATTTACGAATCTTTTGAAAATTATATACCCGCAGATCCAAAACACCCAACAAATACCACACAAGATAAACACAAAATAAACCACGATACAAACCACATGATACAAACACAAAATAAAACACATGATAACCAAATTGCTGAAAATCAGCAAAGAGACATAGCTAAAAAGCTAAGATCAGACATAAAATTGAATACCAAAACATACTTGGTTGATCCAAAAAAAGCAGAAAAAGAGGGGAAACAGAATAAAGGTAAGATGGAACAAATATCAAACCAATAGCAAGATGGTAGATTTAAATCCAATAATGACATTAAATGGAAATGGTCTAAACACTCAAATTAAAAAGCAGATTATCAGACTGTATAAAAAGTCAGACTCAACTATAAGCTGTCTCAAGAAATGAATTTTAAATATATAAAAAAAAGAGATAGGCTAAAATAAAAGAGTTCACCCTCATAAACTAAGCACCTCCCAAAGGTCCCACCTCCAAATACCTCCATCATGTTGGGGATTATGTTTCAACATATGAATTTGGGGGGGACACAAGCATTCAGTCTACAGCAAGGACTTTATGGAACAGAGCTACCACTCAAGCCCACGGCTGGCTATCTCCAAACTTTTACGTGAGATAAATACGCTTACCTCATGTAAACTGTGTAAGATTGTACAGATTGGGCACTGTGTAATTCCAGGGGCCCCCTTCCATGTAGTCTGTGTTCAACCACACACAGCATCATTCAAATTTCCCTTATTTAAGTCACTGTCATTTTAGATCTCTGTGACTTATGACCAAGTATTACCATAATTGTGAGAATATAAATTGGGATAACCACTTTGGAGAGAAATTTAGCAATATTTAGTAAAATTGAAAATGCATATATCCTATGATATCCTAGAGCAATGGTTCTCACAATACAGCCCATGAATTCCTGAAGTCCCCAAGATACTTTAAGGGGATTAGAAAGGTCAAAATTATTTATATAATAGTACTAGTATGTTATTTGCCCTTTCCACTGTGTTGACATTTGCACTGATGGTACAAAAGCAATGGTTGGTAAAACCGCTGGCTCCTTAGCATAAATTAAAGCAGTGGTACCAAACTATAACAGTAGTCAACAAATTCTTCACTGCTACTTGTCGGGAGAAAAGCAGTTTTACTTAAGAATTTCCTTGATGAAGCAACAAAAATTATTAATTTTATTAAGTCTTGATACTAAAGAATATTTCTTAATATTCAGGATGATGACATAGGAAGATACATAAGTATGCATTCTGAAGCACAATGGCTGTCAAATTACTTGCATTATTGTTTCATGAAACACCATACTTGAAAAAACAACTGACAAACTACAGTTATTCAGACTTGGGTATGAGGCAGACACCTTCTCAGAAATGAACAAAGTGATCATATCATCTCAAGGAAAACAACTGATAGTGTTTGTTGCCAATGGTAAAATTTGAATTTTTCTGGAAAACCTGTGTCCAGCACCATGAGTTTAGTTTCCCAATATTTAAATATTTTTCTGATGAGATTGGTGATGACATTAACAAGTATGTGATTTTTTTTTTGAGACAGTCTCACTCTCTCACCCTGCCGCTTCTAGAGTACAGTGGCTCATCATAGCTCACTGCAACCTCAAACTCCTGGGCCCAAGGAATCCTACTGCCTCAGCCTCCCAAGTACCTGGGACTACAGAAGCATGCCACCAGGCCCAGCTAATTTTTTTCTATTTTTCATAGAGGTGGGGTCTTGCTCTTACTGAGGCTGGTCTCAAACTCCTAACCTCAATTAATTCTCCCACCTCAGCCTCCCAGAGTGCTACAATTACAGGTATGAGCCACCACCCCCAGGTGATTTTTTGATAAGAGAGAGACACTGATGCAAAAGGTAGGAGATGTGGGGCCACAGCCACCTCTTTCTGTAAATGACTGTTGCCCTCTAGACAAGCTTGGGTCCAACTCCGAGGATACCTTTTTCATTGCACAATGAATAGCTACTGAGCCTCCTGACTGATTTGACTTGGTAGGTCTGACAAGATCTAGCTCAGGACAGGCAGATTCTGTCACATGGTCACTGATGCCCCATAATCAGGTACTCAGTCTTCTTGGGTCTGGTGCCCAACACTGTTTTCACTTGGTAAGTTCTATGGTTGTCTTGCCCCAGAACCCTGGGAGTGTGCACAGCAACTCTCCTGTTGGGGCTTGCTGGAGGTGCCACACAGGGTCCTTATCTGTCACAAATAAACCCAACCCTAACCCACTGGTTCTGCTAAGTGGCAGGGAAGGCTGTCCGGATCTTCAGCAGAGACCTCTTTTTTCTCTGGGCCCCACTCAAAACTGGCAGTTTTCTCAGTTACCGAACAAATGGGTCAGAACAGTATTCCTTAGTACATGCTGACTCCAGAACCCAGAGGTGCATCAAGTGCTATGCCTCCTTCTTTGTGGCAGGGATGCAGGATGCAGTAACTGGTCCTTGTCTTAGAGGTGATGCCTCGGCTTGCCCTAGAGCACTCCACCCCCAAAAATTTCACAGATATGGTAGGCTCCAGAACTTTTGAGGGTTTATCTCTTATTCTCTGACATGCATTGTCTTACCAAGGCCAGAGCACTTGTCATTTCTTTCTTCGCCATGTCCAATTAGCATGTCATCAGTGTATGTGGAATGTCCAGATCGTAAGGTCCCTAAGGACTATCTATATTATGACAGAGAAGAGGAGAGTTAAAACAACAAGAAGCAAGACAATGTATATGGCTACCCTTCCCATATAAATGTGAACTTCTTTTGATCCTCTTTACCATTGGGAATTGACAAGAATGTCCACCATATCAATATCTGCATTATCAAACACCAGAGGTGCATTAATCTATTATAGTAAAGATACCACATCTGGCACAACTGCTGTGACTGGGGATATTACTTGGCTAAGTTTGTGGTAGTTCACCATCATTTACTTGAATTCACCTATATTTTGCATGGGCCATTTGAGTAAACTGAAGGGATGAAATGGTGACCACCACTTTAAGTCTTTGAGGGTGACACAATCCCTGCAATTCCACCTGGAATGCAGTATTATTTCTATCTTGGAGGGGTTCCGGTGGGGTGAAGAGTTTCGAGGGCTTCGACTTTGCTTTTCCTACCACATGGTTCTTATTCCACAGGTCAGGGATCAATGCACAAGCTCTGCCCATTGCTAGGTATAAAGTCATCCCAAGTATGCACTGGAACCAGAGAAGTAACCACAGGACTTGGGTCAGGATTACATTTATCATCTGATTTCCGTAAGTTCCTCCTCTAACTGGAGAGTCAGGACGCTTTAGGTGCCCTGGTACAAGTGTCAGCTCAGATCCTGTATCTAACAGCTTTTTAAAGTGTATTAGTCACTTTGTCAAGTGGCTCTAGGTCCCTTTAGGGAAGGACTGGAGGAATATTTTTTGTATATACTTATGGCGGTGGCATTGTAGGATTCTTCTTGAACGCGACCAAGCCTCCCTTTCAATCAGTGGGCTCTGGGTCTCAGAACTAGCTCCGACGTAAATACAGAGTGAGGGATCATGATCTTCCACTGCAGGAATGACATTAACCTGCTGATTACCAATTCTTGATTTCTTTCCGGTTATTCAGATCAAACAACATCCTGGTCAGATGCCCATCTATTTACCCCAAAGAACACCACCGTTTGGCAGGCACTGTCACAGATTCCTGTGGCTCAAGCCTTCCTGGTTGCCACTCCCGCCTGAAGCAGAAGCGGACATGCAGGAGCACGCGCTTAAAGTGGGATGCCCTCCAAGGGAGGTGAGTCTGAGCCGCCTAGGCCAAGAGACACGATGCAGCCCCAGGGGGGTCTGCTCCAAGGTAGGAGCCTTCACGCGCTCCTGGATTTGAGTCTGTCATTGGTCCTAGGGATGGGGGCCAGGAGGGGGAGGGGAGGGGGGCGTGAAGACACGAATTTCAAGCAGGGCAGCAAAAGCCTCGTCATTCAGAGGTGCGCTTCTACTGACAAGGGGGTCTTGGCGGTGATTAGGGATTTGGTGTGCCCGAAGTCATCGGAATTGTCCCAAGGGTCGCATTCATTCGAGAAATGTCTACTGGGCACCTACCAGGTGTCCCCGCGCTCTACTCTCTGCGTCTCTCTCACACGCGCACATGCGCTCTCCTCAGTGTCATCCACACTCAGGATCAGCCACACGCGCTCAGTGGCTTTCCGCCTCGCCCACTGGCCCCGGGGGTGGTGCCCGGGAGGGGACACTTCCGTCGGAGCTGCTGCAGCCGCTGCCCGCGCTGCTCCCTCCGTTCCCGGACCCGGGCGAAGGTCGGTCTTCCCTCACCTGCGCCTTTCTGCGACACCTGTCCCGGAGCACTCGGCCCGCTCCACTCCCAAGGACACGCCAGTTAGCGCCGGCGGAAGACTGGCCACCCCGCCCAAGCGATACGCCGCTCTCTCGACGCTTCTGATTGGCTCATCCATTTCAAACGGCGGCTAATCATTCCAGAGGCCCCGCCCACAGGGCGTATCGGGCACCCAAAGAGACAAGCCATTGGTTGTTGCTCCTAATAGGGGTGGGGCACGACGGAGACCGCCCCCACCCCCGCCGCTGAATTCGGCCTTCGGAAAGAGCCCCCGGAACAGGGTAGCGGACAGAGCCGAACGCCGCCGCGAAGAGCCGAATAGAGCCGGAGAGACCCGAGTATAACCGGAGAAGCGCAGACCCGCCGGAAACGGAGCCGAGCCCGTCCGAAGGGAGCGGAGCGCTGCCGGGGGTTGGGCCCCGCCGAACCCGCGCCATGGCGGCAGAGGGGACTGATGTGGCCGGAGGCGGGACTGTTGGCGGCTGCCTGGCCAAGGACAACTTGCGGCAGTCTAAGAGCCCGGACGCGGCCCCGAACCGGCGGCGCTTCTCGTCGCTGTCGCGTGACGCCGAGCGCCGAGCCTACCAGTGGTGCCGGGAGTACTTGGGCGGGGCCTGGCGCCGAGTGCAGCCGGAGGAGCTGAGGGTTTACCCCGTGAGGTGGGAGGTCAGGGGTCAGCCTCTCTGGTGCGTGGGCCGGGGTCAGGGGTCGCAGTCATCCTCGGGGCCCTCAGGACACTCCTTGTGGTTGCAGTCCTCGGGTGCCCGCGCCGGGGGCGGGGCAGGGGCGGGTCCGCGGCTGGCCTGGCCGGGAGGGGACCGGGGGCCGGCCGCGGGCTGAGCGCGCCTGCTGTGGGTCTGCAGCGGAGGCCTCAGTAACCTGCTCTTCCGCTGCTCGCTCCCGGACCACCTGCCCAGCGTTGGCGAGGAGCCTCGGGAGGTGCTGCTGCGGCTGTATGGGGCCATCCTGCAGGTGAGGCGGCAGTGCAGGCCCCAGCGGCAGTGGCCTTGAGACCTGTCGCTGAAGTAGTATTGCCCCACTGCGCACTGCTCCGGAGCCTTCGGGCAGCGGGACCGGAAGTCCCAGCTTTGGTAGGCGGAGGAAGCAGACCTCCTCCGTGTGCGGGTGCCACTTTGCCTCCCGCCCCTCCTGACTCCGCCCCTTTGCTGGCATCTTCCCTCAGGGCGTGGACTCCCTGGTCCTCGAAAGCGTGATGTTCGCCATCCTTGCAGAGCGGTCACTGGGGCCCCAGCTCTATGGAGTCTTTCCAGAGGGCCGACTGGAACAGTACATCCCAGTACGCCCCAGCCCTGCCCGCTCCTCCCCAGGCACCTGCCCCAGCCCCTCCCCTCCCCAGTGTCTGCCTTCACGTCCCTCGCCCCAGGTAGGGAATTCTCCCCCATTCCCCCGTCCCTTCCCCGTCCTGCCCCAGCCCCCTCACCACCCTGATAGGCTCCTGGGTGCAGAGCCGGCCACTGAAAACTCGAGAGCTTCGAGAGCCGGCGTTGTCAGCAGCCATTGCCACGAAGATGGCCCAGTTCCATGGCATGGAGATGCCTTTCACCAAGGAGCCCCACTGGCTGTTTGGGACCATGGAGCGGTGAGTCAGGGGCCTCCTCGGGGCTCTTGCGCACCTGAGCTGAACTCTCATTCTAGCAGTTACCACACTGGGCTGTGGCTGGATGTGTCTGTGCTCTGTCTAGCCCTCCAGTTGAGTGGCTTAGGTATCCCAGTATCTAGCATGGGCTTTCACAGAACAGGCTTCCAAACACTTGCCAGAAAAGTCACACAATGACAGGAAAATGTGTGAGATAGTCTGGCCTGAGGGGTAGACAGGAGAGGGGAGGGATAGCAGAGTAAGTGTATCCTGTTCTTTGGACTGCAGATACCTAAAGCAGATCGAGGACCTGCGCCCCAGTGGCCTCCCCCATATGAACCTACTGGAGATGTACAGCCTGAAGGATGAGATGGGCAACCTCAGGTGAGGACGGGCAGGACGGGTGGGGAAAGGAGGGGTGGGGCAGAAGAGTGCAGGAGGTGGTGCCAGGCGCCTGACAGTGTCCCACCCAGTATTTATTGAGGGCCGGGGTCAGGGCCTGGCCTGTGAGGGTAGCTCTCACCCTACTGAGGACCCATGCCCCCATCCCTCCACAGGAAGTTACTAGACGCTACCCCATCACCAGTGGTCTTCTGCCACAATGACATCCAGGAAGGTAGGAGAAAGCATCTGAGTCTCCCAACCCAAGGTGGAGGAGCCAGAGGGCCCTGGAGTGACCAGAACCCCACCCCATTCCCCCAGGGAACATCTTGCTGCTCTCAGAGCCAGAAAATGCTGACAGCCTCATGCTGGTGGATTTTGAGTACAGCAGTTACAACTACAGGTGAGGGTGGGAGGATGGCTTCCTATAGATCTGTTCCCATGGGGCCCTGGGCAAACAGACCAGGCCTTCATCTCTGCATTCCAGCTGCCCAGGGTATTTGGGGACTGAATGTCCACCTTATTCCTGCAGGGGCTTTGACATCGGGAACCATTTTTGTGAGTGGGTTTATGATTATACTCATGAGGAATGGCCTTTCTACAAAGCAAGGCCCACAGATTACCCCACTCAAGGACAGCAGGTATGTGGGCCAGAGGCTGGGAAGCAGGACCCATCCTGTGAGGGAGGAGGGAGGTGAAGTCTGGAAGGCGTGGCCAGATCGAGTGTTAACTGGGAAATACTCCATAGTTTTCCCAGTTCCTGACTCTTGTCCGTTGATCTTAGCTCCATTTTATTCGCCATTACCTGGCAGAGGTAAAGAAAGGTGAGACCCTCTCCCAAGAGGAGCAGAGAAGACTGGAAGAAGATTTGCTGGTAGAGGTCAATAGGTGAGGAAGGAGGGGCAGGGTGGAGGTAGGGCAGGGCACAGAGGAAAAGGGGATTGAAGAAGAGGTAATCAGACTTTGCAAGCTGCAGATAAAGATCCAGTGCCGAGTGGGGCAGAGGTGGAAGATGAGGCCTGGGGCTGGCAGGGAGGAACAGTTTGAGAGCAGGAAGAGTCAGGGTGATGTAGGGGTTAGGACAGTGGGAAGAAGTTAGCTTTGGGGATTGACCAGCCTGGGTGAGGGGATCCAAGCAGTGCCAAATGTACTCTTGAATGCCCCTACTTTTCCTGCCCTACTCCCAGGTATGCTCTGGCATCCCATTTCTTTTGGGGTCTGTGGTCTATCCTGCAGGCATCCATGTCCACCATAGAATTTGGTTACATGGTAAGTAACCCTGTGGTGGGTGGGGGCAATGTTGGGTGGGGCATGGGGAGCAGCAGGGCCACATGTCCTCCAGGAAACCTGGGTAGTCCCAGGTGGCTGTGGGCAGACCCAGGTGACTGTAGGGTGCTTGTCCCAAGCCTTCTCACCACTATGTGGCGTGGGTTTCCTTCCCTAGGAGTATGCCCAGTCTCGGTTCCAGTTCTACTTCCAGCAGAAGAGGCAGCTGACCAGCTTCCATCCCTCATCCTGACTCTCCACCCTCCTAGTCCTTGGATTTCTCCTAGAGCCTCCAGGGCAGGACCTTGGAGGGAAGGGCTAAGAGCAGAAGGCCCTGGGGACCGGGCTGAGGCCCAAGTGAGACTGGGGTTGAGGAGGCTGACCTCTCCCCGAGTTTGAGTAGGTCCTGTGGGGGGCAGGGAGCCCCTGTGCTGTGTACCTTAAGACAATAAATGTGCTTCTTCCTTCACACCCTGTCCCGGCCCTGCTCAGAAGCAGCAGAAAGTACCAAAACGAGGAGTACACACAGACAGACAAAATGACCACTGCTCTCTCTGTTCAGTGCTCTGGGTTTGAAAGTGGTTGAGGGTCCACTCTGCCAATCGAGGTCGCCTATCCCTCCCCTCTCCTCTGACACCAGCTTAGCAATAATAAATACTAGGAGGATTTGTGGGGGAGGACTGGAGAGAGATAAGGGTACAAAGAGGGCTCTGGAGGCGGTCTGCCACCCCGGAGCACCAGGGATCTGGGAACAGCTGAGACACGTTGGTGACCTTTCCCCTACTTTCTGCTATTTTTAGCCCTAATGCCACCATCCTCACGTGAGACCCTTTGTGGCCGCCCCCAGGCTCCTAGACCTTGGAGCAGCCTTCGGTGTGCAGAAACCCTGCCCCTTCTTAACTCCCAGTGGGGAGGGGGGGGTTCTGGTTCCCGCCCCACATCTGTTTTCTCAACCCCAATTTGGGAGTGGGTGTCAGGTTTCCGGGGAGGGTGGGGCGGGGGTGGCCAGGCCTGAAGGACGTGGGGACACGGGCCAGAGTGGCCAGCCTCACACAGACAGGAGCGAACCCGAGCTGTGAGTAGGAGCCAGCGAAGGGGCCGGCGCTTGGGTTGGCACGGTTGGGCTGGGGGTCGCCCGAATCCCGCCTCTGTCCAGGCGACTCCGCTTCCTGGAGCGTGTCTCCCCCGACCTGTCTTCTCCCCTCGCTGACGCTCCCGCCCCGAGGCCGCCCTTCGCTGCCCTTGGGGCTCCCGGAGCTTTCAAGGCTCGAACCCTTGCGACCCTGCGCCACCGTGGGCGTGAGGGTTCTGCCCGCGGCGGTTGGCCCTGGCCCGGCTGGGCTCCTGGCGAGGGGCGCGGGCAGGAGGCGGGGCCTCGGGGCAGGCGGGGGCGGGGCCGGCCTGAGCGCGCCCGCGCACCCTCCTGCCCCCTCCCAGGTGCCAACCAACCCCCAGGATGGCAGAAGCGCACCAGGCTGTGGCCTTCCAGTTCACGGTGACCCCAGAAGGGGTCGACTTCCGGCTCAGTCGGGAGGCCCTGAAACACATCTACCTGGCCGGGATCAACTCCTGGAAGAAACGCCTGATTCGAATAAAGGTGGGCACAGGTGGCTTTCTCCCAGCAGGTGCAGAACAGAGTCCTGAGAGCTGAGGCAGAGGCCAGGTGTCAGCTGTTACCCCATCGTCAGGGTCCCTCACCACCACCTTGGCTGGCAGTTCTGCTGGGCTTAGGCGCTGGTGTGCAGACACCAGAGGGGTGCTCAAGGTGTGGTCGGACACAGTGAGGTGAAGGTGTGGAGGAGTAAGAAGAGCACAGCAGGTGGATGAAGGGAGAAAGCCTTCCAGGCAAAGACCAGGAACCCTTTCCCCAGACTTCCCAGGTGCCCGCTTACCTCACACCCCCCCTTCTCCATAAGAGTGCCTGTTTCTGCCCACAGAATGGCATCCTTAGGGGTGTGTACCCAGGCAGCCCCACCAGCTGGCTGGTCGTCGTCATGGCAACAGTGGGTTCCTCCTACTGCAACATGGACATCTCCTTGGGGCTGGTTGGTTGCATCCAGAGATGCCTCCCTCGGGGGTAAGAATCGGGCTAGAAGAGCACAGGTGTCATGAGGGAGGGCTGGGCCAAGCTCCCAATGCCAAGGTTCCTGAGCTGGGCAGATACAGGACAGTAACCTTACTCACGGGGGCAGCCCACCGGGACCCCACGGTCTCAGACCCACGTCAGCTCGTGTTTGATGCAATCAGACATGAGTGTGCCCAGGGAGTTCCTTTCCCCTTGGTGCCTCCCCTGAGACGGTTCACAGCCATCAGCTGTGGAGTCAAAATTTCCCCAAGGCTGGCCTCGAGACGACCCCCTGCAGCCCTCGCCCCTTCTTCAATAGGTGTGGCCCCTACCAGACCCCACAGACCCGAGCACTTCTCAGCATGGCCATCTTCTCCACGGGGGTCTGGGTGACAGGCATCTTCCTCTTCCGCCAAACCCTGAAGCTGCTTCTTTGCTACCACGGGTGGATGTTTGAGATGCATGGCCAGACCAGCCACTTCACCAAGATCTGGGTTGTGAGCAGAAGCCGGTGAAGGGGTTTGGGCATCTGGTCTGAGATCCCAGGGGCCTCCTTTGGGGTTCTGAGCGGGGGTGGGGAGAGGCAGCGGAGCACTGCTGCCTGGCATGTGGGTTTGTCCTAGAGGGGCCAGGATGGTTCTGAGGGTCTTGAGTGTTTGCTGGTTTGTTTTCGTTCTTTCCGCTGGCTGCTCCCCCAGCACTCTGCTCTGTACCCCCAGATCTGTGTCCGTCTTCTATGCAGCCGACGACCCATGCTCTACAGCTTCCAGACATCTCTGCCCAAGCTTCCCGTGCCCAGCGTGGCAGCCACAGTTAGGCAGGTGAGGGCCTGGCTCAAGCATCGCAGTGGACAGGGAGGCTGGATTCCGAGGACTTGTCCAAACATAAGGGGCTGTTCTGTGCAAAGAGTGGGCTTGAGAGTAACGGGGCTGGGTGAGGAGGGAGCGTTGAGAAGAAGATTAAGACAGAGGTAGCCATTGCTTTCTGGCCCCCATGGTGACGATAACTTGGCTGGACAGTACTTAGAATCTGTGCGACCCTTGTTGGATGATGAGGAATACTACCGCATGGAGATACTGGCCAAAGAATTCCAGGACAAGACTGCTCCCAGGCTGCAGAAATACCTGGTACTCAAGTCATGGTGGGCAACTAACTATGTAAGTTTGTCCTCCTGGGCTCATTCTCACCACCATGTGTCCTGGCTGCCCCCTCCCCAGCTCTAACCTCCGACCCACCCACAGGTGAGCGACTGGTGGGAAGAGTACATCTACCTTCGAGGCAGGAGCCCCATCATGGTGAACAGCAACTATTATGTCATGGTGAGAACCAGAGCCCCACAGGGCTCCTGTGTGTGCTAGCTCTGTGCCCAGCTCCAAGGCAAAAGACCTGGAGGACAGCCCAGAGCCCTGCTGGCAGTTTCCGTGGGCAAGTAGGCATTGTGGATGGAGCAAGGCCTGAAGCAGAGGGAAGGAGGAGAGGAGATTTCAGGAGAGCAGCTCAGAAGCAGCTTAGGAGAGATGGGGATTCTGAGGATGAGGAGAATCCAGAGACCCCACAGCCTGTCACCACCTCTCTGAGTCTCTCAGGCTATGTCACCTCCTTTCTTGGTTCTCTTCCTGGCTTCTCGGCCACAGCTTCCAGCTGTCCTGACACTATTACCAGGGAACTTTCTAAAACATGCCTCTGTGGAGCCAGACCACAGGACGAGGGCCAGGCTTCTCTGAGAGTTCAAGAAGTCACTGTCTGCCCCTTCCCCATGTGACTGGCCCTCCTCCTGACTCTGGCCTCCACAGCCAGCCTCCCACCTGCACAATGTGCCCCTCCCTCCCACTGCGCAGCTGGCTGGAACACTCCCACAAGCTGTCCTTCCAGAAACTCTTACACAACTGGCCCATATCAGAGATTTTAAACAATTTATTAGTTGTAGAACTCCTTTCTCAAAGCAAAATAAGTAAAATATGAATAAATAAAATAGGTTATCAAAAATCAGCTTGGGCCAAAGCTAGAGCAGAGGATTAATGGGGTCACTGGTGCATTTCTGGAAGTTCACTCTAACAGTGTGTGCAGGATGTACTGGAGAAGGAGACAAGACACCTCAGGTCCCCAGATAGGTTGGTCCTCGGGCCAGTGAGACCCAGGTGACGCCCCCTAGACAGAGGTTCCCATCCTGCAGGTTCTGCTCTCTTTGTAGGACTTTGTGCTCGTCAAGAACACAGATGTGCAGGCAGCCCGTCTGGGAAACATCATCCATGCCATGATCATGTATCGCCGTAAACTGGACCGTGAAGAGATCAAGCCCGTGAGTTGAGTCAGGGTTGAGGGTGGGACAGGAGAGGAGACCTGACTCTGAGCTGTGCTGGGCCTTCCTCCAGGTGATGGCACTGGGCATTGTGCCTATGTGCTCCTATCAGATGGAGAGGATGTTCAACACCACACGGATCCCCGGCAAGGAGACAGGTACCAGGCCACAGCCAGGCACCCACTGAAACCAAGCCCCGCCCTCACAGCTGTGGCCCCCTGTGGCAAGGAACCCTGCTATCTGCTCAGCACCAAGCATCCGCAGTGTCTTAGGGTTGTGAAACTATGAAAAGTAGTCAGTCTGTGACAATACTAGACATCTGTTATTTATAGGCTTGATGCTGGTGCAGGGACCCCAAGGGGCCCAGAACAGAGCCTCTCCCCTGCAGGGGCTCACTGTGCGTGGGGAAGGTAGTCCTATGAGTAAAGAGCAGCAGGAGGCATCCTGTGTGCAGCTGAGGAGGAGCATGAGTGCCTTCCATGGAGCTCGCAGAGGAAGAGGGCAGAGGCAGCAGCCTTCCCTGTTTCTGGCAACGTCTCCTCCTGCAGTTTGCGTAACTACCTGCTGCTTTGGTTTCCTCGTCTGTGAACGACCTCATAGGACTGTTGTTGGAAGCCCCCAGCACAGGGCCTGGTTTAGGCACATAGATCCTGCCCCCAGGGGAAGGCAGGCCTAGGGCAAAGCAGGGGTGGCAGGGGCCACCTGGGGCCACCCCGTGTGAGGGAGGTAGACCCTTCCCAGAGTGCATTCGGGAGTGCAAGGTGCTCCCCATGGCCCTGCCTCAGCTCACCGTGGCCTCTGTCACAGATGTGCTGCAGCATCTCTCAGACAGCAGGCACGTGGCTGTCTACCACAAGGGGCGCTTCTTCAAGGTGTGGCTCTACGAGGGCTCCCGCCTGCTCAAGCCCAGGGACCTGGAGATGCAGTTCCAGAGGATCCTGGACGACCCTTCCCCGCCCCAGCCTGGGGAGGAGAGGCTGGCAGCCCTCACCGCGGGGGGAAGGTACCGGCCTGCGGGAGGGGCTGTCCTGACTGAGGTTCAGGGGAAAGGAGCTCAGCCCTGCCTGCCGCCCTGGAACTGGGGGCTGGAGACACAACCAGGAGAGGG